GAATCCCTTCATAAAGTGCAGGGTCGCTGGGTAGAGGGAGTTAAAAACACCACTGCCTGCCAGGAAACACAGGCTCTCCACACAGGCCACAGAAGCAAACAGGGCACCTGGGAAAAAATTCAAGTCAGTTAAAATCACATTGCTGTAAAAAAAATGTTAAAAAACTTTATTGGTTATAGACAATTCTAAAAAATGTTTTAAGTCTCGGTGACTGACCTTGTTCTGATGGGTCCACCAACTTGGACAGCTTTGACCTCAGAACAGGCGTCGAAGCCATGAACAGGAAACACAGACCATAACCTGGCCATATTAGGTAAATATTACTTTAACATGTCAGTAAAACTGATCAATACCATGTAAACAAGGTTCATTTTTTGAATTAAACCAAAAGATTGCTAATGCGAGACAAGAACTTATATTGTTTTATAAAGGAAAAACACAGCAGTAACATCTGAGATATTAATTAATTAATTACACTGAGAGGTGAATTAATCTTCATATTTAATGAAATATATTTTTACAAAATATTTTGTAAAGTGTTGGTGTATTATTTTATTTTCAAAATTTACCAAGCGGGCAGGTTTTGGCCTGCGGGCTGTATGTTTGACACCCCTGCCGCAATGCCTCAAAGGACATTACAGTTTTGACATATGGATAATAATTGCCCCCCCAAAAGAAAACTATGAGGACTGCATATATAATCAGCACAATACTTAAACTAAGACAAAGTAAAGCATTATGATAACGAGCTAGCAGTGAAAATGGCTAAATGTTGGTCAAAGAGCTAAGCATTAGCCGAAAATGCTAGCCTAATATTAGTAAACAGTCTTCTTTTATTGCACAGTTGCGACCACGATGATTGTCTTTACACTCTCTCTCACCTGTGAACATGAGCGCTGTGGTGTTAGCCACGGCAAAAACCAGCAGCCCGGAGATATTGGAGGCCAGACCCACTACAGCCACCCAGGAATCCTCCATGCAACGCTGCATGACCTTCAGTCCGAGCAGGCTGCTCAGGTAGGCTAGGTGCAGAGCTGCCGATCCGTAGCCGATGAGGTCGGGCCCCCAGCAGAGCGGCGAGCTGAGCTCAAACAGCACATACAGCTCTCGGCTGCCGGAATGTACAGTCACAACCAGGAAGAAGCAGAGCAGGTAAAGCCACAGTTTGTATTTGTGATATCGTCCGACGGTCTCGCTGCTGCCTCCCGTGGAGAAGAGGTGCCACACGGCCTTGTGGTGGCGAGCGGTGAAGAGCTTGGCGCTGGGATCTGGAGTGACACACTCGCGGACAAACAGGTAAGCGTACAGAGCTGAGGCCAGATTGGTGACCAAGACCAACCAGAATGGATTGATGTACCTGAACAAGGAGAGAATCAGAGAATTAGGATTTTAGATTTAAATAAATTGTCCTGGCTTAATTCATCTAAACCAGTGTTTCTAGGGACATAGTTCATATTTTAAAAGTCAATAAACATTATATGTAAACTCCTGGGAAACATGATGGGAGATGACCCCAAAAAAAATCTCTTGCGAACCACCTGAGGGTTGCGACCCAGTCTTTGGGAAACAATGATCTACATAAAACTAAGAATTGATATTTTCCATGTGACAAATATTTCCCTGGTTAAAACTATGGTAAAAACAATATGATCCTGTCTTAGTTTACGGTTCCAAAACCGAGGTTTTGAAATGTTTCCATACCCTTGAGCCCTCCTCCACTGCCCTCCGATAATACTGGCCAGCATCCCCGACACACCCAGACAGGCCTCAAGAACCGCCACCCTGAAGGTACGGGACGTCCTATCGCTGGTATCAGCCACATAAGCGAAGCAGCCGGCCAGGACGGCGTTGAAATCTCCCGACAGGCCACTGAGCAGCCGGCCCAACAGAAAGTAGACCACAGGCAGCTTCAGGTACATCACCACCAGGTAAACCACCGCCTGCAGTGCCATGCCCAGGTTAGGGAGGATGAGGATGGGTCGGCGGCCCGCCAGGTCACTCCACGAGCCTAGAAGTGGCACCACCAGCAGGCCAACAGAAAAGCCCGCCAGGCTGATGTAAAGGCTCCAGTGGGCCGTCAGGGTCTCCACCTCCTGAGAAAAACAAAGGTCAGAGCTGCAGTACACGGGAATTGTTTAGTAAATGTCAATAATTTCAACATAATATACCGTTAAGTACTAAGTGTTCATAGTCCTGCCTCAGTCGTGTGATTCTATGTTGTTATTTTAACAGTGTGTTGACAGTATGTATGTTACCTTCTGCAGAGGGTCAGGGGTCACGGAGCTATTGCTGCACTCCGACCCCTTGGAGCCGTTGTAGCCCAGGTCCTCGCTGATGCGATCCCACAGATACTGCGTGGACAGAGGCGCCTGCAGAGCCACAGAGAACACGGAGAGGAACAGCACGGGCTCCACGGACACAGGCAGCCGGCAGGACAAAGGTGGTCCGGCGGAGCTGCTGCACGGAGCATCGGCGTCTGTGGAGTCCGACGTCCGAGCGTCTGCTGCGGCCGCGCCGCTGAGCTCGTCCTCGGGAAGGATCGCTGCGGTGTCAGATTCCTCCATGTTTAAAACTTTACCCGTCCCGAGGTCCACACACTCAGAGTGACCCACCCGGAACGCTAACCGGTTATTTGATCATTTATTTGACAATGGAGCCACGTGACCGACGGACAAACACGCTAACAACAGGTCGTTAGCGCCGCGGGTTTTGTGTTTACAGTTAAACTGAACCTGGAGTAAATCTGAGCAGCCGCCGAGCTAAAGAAAGGAAGTGGCACTGGAGCACGATACGGTAAGAAAACGGTGACACCTAGTGGACAAAGAGGCTAAATACATTACTGTTGTTGAATGTCTGCAACCAAGACTGAAAATTATACACACTCCCCAATTACATACAGTATACGTATGTAATTGTATATATGTATATATGTTTATATATCTATATATGTATATATGTGTGTGTGTATATGTATATATATATATATATATATATATATATATATATATATATATATATATATTGTCCCAACCTAATAGGACAGTGTACATTGTCCTATCAAGTCTCCTACAGTGTCTAATTACTTAATTCGGAAAGGAAAGGGAGGAAGGAAAGTGAACTACTTGTCATTGTGGCAGCTTTAAACACCCGGGGAGCAGTGTGTGTGTGTGTGTTGCTCTGCGTACCTCAGTGGCAACTTGGCAGCTGGTGGACTCAAACCTGAAACCTTCCGGACCCAAGTCCGCTTCCTTAACCACTAAGCCACCACTTCCCCAATTAACACAAGATAATAATAATAATAATAATAATAATAATAATAATAATAATAATAATAATAATAATAATAATGATAATGATGATGATGATCATGATCATGATGATGATGTTGATTAACGGGTTTAACATTAAAAATCAGGCTACTTTAAAAGACTGAGTTTAAAGAATCATGAATCAATCCTTATCTGTCTTTATCTGATGATACAGTGTCTGTGTGTGTGTGTGAGAGAGACACACAGACAGAGATACTTTATTTAGGCTTTTTAAACGTATTCTCTCCCTTCTTGTAAGTCGGGGACTTTTGCCTTCACGGAGTAATTAAGCAGCTCAGGTTGTTGTCACTGATAAATTACTTGTAAGTACTTCACCCACATACTCACAGAGCGGTACGACAATCTGGTTTGCCTGCATTTCTGCCACCTTGGGAGACGTTTAATTGGAACAGTGGCATTGTTATTAAAACGTCAACACCCACGTGAACTATGCGCCAGGTCTCTGACTTTGTTATCTGCAGTTCGACAGATGTCTCTGTCTCACCCTTGTCTTCCTCTCTGGGTGGACATGGACAACAACGCACGGCCCGAAAGGTTTCTGCTGTGTCTCGATTTGGAGGGAAAAACTTGTAGATTCACTGCCACTTTTTTGGCTAGTTTGACTTTAATCCATTTTTTGTTGTTGTTGCAGTAATGAAACTATATATAGTAAGTTTATTGTTTTATAAGGCTTCACTTATCATTCCACGAAACATTTACGCCCGACGAAGACGTAACAACCGCTGCTCTTTACCATCATGGCGAAAAACTTTTCTTAATGATTGTTCCTGGTGTCTCCGTTTATCTGTTCACTTCCAAACACACGGCGACACGCCCTCAACACGCAGGCCCCCTCACTCTGGAGTTAATCTTTAATCTTTTACTGCATATAAATGTCCACTGCACCAAACTGCCCTCTACATGAAGCAGTGTTGTCAATAATCATCTTTCTCTTTGACTCTCCGATACTATGGATGTCGCTCACATCTCTCGGATCATGGCTAGATTTCTCAGAGGGCTGTGGAGGCATAGGGACTACATCGTGATATTCCTGACGCCGCTCCTGCTTCTGCCTCTGCCACTGGTCATTCCCACTCCAGTAAGAGCAAAATGTCATTTTTATGTGATTTATGTTTTGACAAGTGGCAACATCAGTCCAGAATTTAGCAGCGATAAAATCCTTGAAATATCTAAAGTCGCCCTTGAACTTCACATGACAGAGGCTTGAAATGTTGCCGGTTAACGGTTAATTAAACATCTGCAGCAAATTATGATAAAAATAGCACTTAAAATGATACTTAAAGAAAGGGATAAAATTCTAAAAAATAAAATGTGCGCATAGACATAAATGATTAAATGCCAAAGAAAAATCTTTTACAGGAAAACTGGACAAGTTAGTCAAGAATGCAGTTGTTTTGTGTCCTTGATAAAGCTAGAAGATAGCCATAAAATACCAAAAAAAAAAAAAAGCCAAAAAATCCCAAAAAAAAAAAAGCCAAAAAATCCCAAAAAAAAAAAAAAGCCAAAAAATCCCAAAAAAAAAAAAGCCAAACTAAAGTTACATATACGTTTAGAACAACAAACTTAGCTAACCATACTAGGACAATAGCTTAAAAATCAATGCCGCAAAATAGCTAAGATCTAAGTAGCCTTTACACTACAAAAAATAATGTAACGTTCCTCAAGAAAAACAAAACAAAAAAAGACAAAATAACTTCAAACCTTTTATGAGTCAAAATATATGAATAAAAATAATGTCCTGTACATATTTGTTGGTAAATTTGTACTTTATTAACACGTCTTTATGAGAACATTGGACAACAGCCTGACTCTGTTTTCATTATCTTATCTTTTACCTTCGGCCAAGGATGTGATAATTCAAAACAATGTTCATGTACTTCCTGTAGGAACAGTTCCAATTAATGGGTAATGTGCCTATGCTAGTTCCGCAGCATTAGCCGCAGTTACGTTTGGTTGATGACACACGCACGCATGCGAAGATATCAAGGCACTAGACAAAAACGTGAAAAGCTGCAGCATTTTCTTTGACAGAACAGACCTGGTTCTCAGGTTGGGTTTTTCCATCATCCACTCAGCTGCACGTTGCCCTTTGTTCCCAGCCACAGAGGTGAAGCTCAGGTTCATCATAAAGCACAGAACCTCCAATTTGAACTCAGCTGTGGATCAAAATGGATATTTGACTAAATAAATGTAAGAAATTAATAAACCTATTTTCCTATTTTTAACCCATGGTAACACTAAAATAGAAAATGTACTCATTGTTTTTTTTGGGTAAAATAACTTCAGTTAACTGAAGTGGTTAACTAATTAATAACCACTTCATCACACATTTTCTTTACCGATTTAGACTTTTTCATCCATTTCTTCCTCCTCACACAGTATATATATACAGTGAAAATGCACTGGTTGAATAAACAAAACCCAGGGACCCATCAGCATGTGGACCACAGAGCTGGATCTTCAGTCTTAAAGATTAAAAGATAAAGCGCAGCCGCCAGCCACAGATTACACACTGGTCTTTACAACAGTGAGTTAAGATTACAGTGGTTCGGTGTTCTCACTGAAGGAGTAATAAAACAGGTATAATCACTGTACACTGTGCACTGGCACAGACGGTGGTCGCAGATGGGCTCATTATCTAAATGTGCTGATTACTTTTTACAGAAACTCTCATGTCGGCGAGACTCAAAGCGCTGGTGTCATTGAGTTGGGGGCTGCAGGGTTCAAAGTTATTTAAAATGTCATTTGAGCAAGAGTTAGATGGCGCTAATCATCAGTATGTTTTTTTTTTCTCGTCCACAGTTATTTTTGGTGATGTTTTAGTTTAATGCTCCAACATAAAAAGTAATACAAAAATATTGTTCTGTTCTGAAGTGCCATTTTATGACCAAAAACGTTGGCTTTTATGGTTTTAAAGTTGTAGCCGTAGCTGTAACGCACACACAAACAGAACACCTTCTGACGGTGACCCTTTGTACCATGCAATCTTTGATCCTGATAAAACCCCAAATGAAAACATGTCAAAGGGCTAATTCAGTCTCATTAACCAATGGCCAAGATCTAAGATTGATTTGTTTTGTTTGTTTTGTTTCTCATTAAGAACCTTCCTCATTAAGAACTAAATTTTAAAAAGGCTAATTTTCACTGAAAAGATCCATAGTTATCTAAACAATGCTATAATATATAGTTGTGTATCTGTATTTTTTGTGTGTAAATTGTCTGTTTTTTCTTCAACTGAAATAGGTAAACAACACTCTGGTTTTATCATGGTCCATATTCCCCAGCACTAACACAAAGGCAGTGTCAATTCCTAGCAATTTTCTTATGATTAAAAAGTCAGTTTGTTTGTTTTTAAAATTTAAAACTAGCTGCTATTGGACGTTCAAAGTCAGCCAATGACGTGCCATGGTTTTTGTTTTCTTTTTGTTCAACTATCCGTATTCGACACATAGTCTTTGCAGAAACTCAGTATTACATTTACCTGTTTTTACACTCTATATATGTAGAAGTGATCCCCTGACACATAGAGAGCGACACAGTAGCAGAAGAAAACATCTGTGAATTCTCTGCCGTTTCCGGTCATAAAGTGGTTTAAGTGATAGTTTTCGGCTAAACATTAAACTAAGTGGTGTTAGGTTAACTGAGGTCAGGAAGGGTCACCTATGTTCTCGTTCTCCTTTGGGCAAACAATGGTAAGGTGTGTCTTTCTAGTGTACACTTCAAGAGAAATGGAAAAAAAAAAAGTCAGAGCTTCTTGTTGAACACCCCGGCCTCTGTGTGTGTGTGTGTGTGTGTGTTCCTACAGCAAGCAAAATGTGGCTATGCGATCATCCTCATGGCCCTGTACTGGTGTACAGAGTGCATCCCTCTGGCCGTGACCGCTCTGCTGCCCGTCATCCTCTTTCCCATGATGGGCATCATGGAGGCCAGCGAGGTATCTCCACCTCTACAATGTTGGTCAAAGATAACAAATTGATGTTCTTTATTGACGTAACCGTCCGCTCTCTGCTGCCCCCAGGTCTGTGTCCAGTACCTGAAAGACTCCAACATGCTCTTCATCGGTGGACTGCTGGTGGCCATCGCTGTTGAACACTGGAACCTGCACAAGAGGATCGCCCTGAAAGTTCTGCTCATTGTTGGGGTGAAGCCCTCTCTGTAAGGAGCTTTATTCTGCTCATTTCTCAGTTCTCAACCTCTGGGTCGTGGCTCGGTACATGTCAACAAAGTTTCTATTTAATCTTTTCATTGAAAGATAATCTGGCAATTTTTCGATTTAATACATCTTAGTGACAGAAACTGATACTAATAGAAGAAAATGTACAAATCGAACAACTCTCAAACAACAGGGCGGCGCTGCCGGTTACATCGAACCAGTCCTTGGTACAAAAAAGAATGTTCTAATTGACTGTAACTGACTTTTTTACCAAAGTGGAAACAACAGTGGACAGTTTTGTTTATTAGTATGCACAGAAAATTAAAAGTCTGTTATATTAAATAGAAATGTACTTTCTGAAATACTTATACACTAATATTGTAAAAAAGTTGTTTTTTTTTAACTAGTGAAAAGTTAAGGCCAAATCTCTAGAGTCAGAACAGCAGAATTATACAGTTTTCAGAATTAGTTTTGATCACCAGTTGGGACAGAAGCCCTGTTTGGATTAGAACTAAACAATTATTTAGTAGATTTTTGCTCTTAATTTAATCCAAACTGTAATATAATTGTACGTGATCGGTAGTAGTACGCACTTTTAAACAACCTCGTTGTGTTTAAAAGTCTCAGCGGTTCTTTAAACATTGTAAAATATTCCGTTCACTGCATTAATTTAACAAAGAGTTTGTGCAGGAAATCAGGTTTTATGACGACCATAAAGGTTTGTTTTTAATCTGGGGTTGTTGGTAATAGAACAAGGAAACGGTTCAGTCTGGTAAACATGAATGAGGACGAGGGATCGATTGATTATTTAAAACTGGTAACAAGGAAACAGTCAAAGGTGTGGAGTCGCTGAGATCATAGGGAGAGCAGTTTAAATCTAGCAATATTTTACTCTTAACTGTGCTGTCGTGTAAAACAAAAGCGACTGTTGGCCGATCTTAACCTTTTGAAAATATCATCAAGATGTTTCCTCCGTCCTTCACCTGACCATCTGCTCATTGGCTCTGTGTCCGGTTCAGTCTAATGATCGGCTTCATGGGCACCACGGCCTTTTTGTCCATGTGGATCAGCAACACGGCGTCCACGGCCATGATGCTGCCCATTGCTAACGCGGTGCTGAAGCAGCTGAGTGACACGGAGGCCAATGCGGATGATGCGGTCGATGGTTTTTCTCCTACGATGGGCGGTCTTGAAAATCAGGCCTTCGAGATTGAAGAGTCCAAGCAAAGCAACGGGAAGGTGCCGAAGATCAAGGAGAACGGCATCAGTTTTGGTGAGTCTTTTATTTTTATTTTTTTACATTTACCGTATTTCAAACTTTACATTCAAACTGGTGAAGGCCGCTGAAGTCGTTTTTTTGTCTCCTTTTATCACAATGTCCACACTTTGTTTTACAGATGGCGAAAACACCATCAACATGAAGGAAATCAGAGAAAATAATGATAACAGTGTGGATCCCGGTAGGTGATATCAATGGGAAAGTACTAAGCATAGGCAAACTAAGGCCCGGGGGCCAGATGTGGCTCGTTCAGCTTCTTAATCTGGCCCGCCAAATTTTTCCAAATTATATAATTTATTTATATTATCATTATACTTCTGTCTTTTCCCTGCAATACCAGTGTTTCCCCAATAGATGGCGTAGAAAATGATAAAAGTATTTTAGCCTTTATGCATGACTTTTACATTTATCTTGGTTCACAATTTTGGCCCGCGACTCAAAAGGTTTTGCCTAATCTCACAGCAGGGTTTTCAAACTCAATCACTCAAGGGGGCAAAAATTAAAACTACGTTGGGGGCCAAACAGGATTAACAGTTATTCAAGTCTACTGCTGAGAATTAGCTCACCAGAAATTTTTTTTGTAAAGCATATTTTATACACCTAAATACAGAATTAGATCAGTGCCTTTAACCAATCCAGTAAACATTAGTATTGTCTCTATACAATAGAGTTTTATTTAAAATGACCACACGCATGGCAAGCTCAGGTGGGCCACAAAAATCGAAGCGGGCCAGATATGGGCCGCGGGCCTTGAGTTCGACCTAGGTTTGCATCTATTGATTTATTTACAGTTAATGTTAATCTTGTTAATTCATTTGTGAAAATGAATCTGATTAAAATTTCATTGCATTTTAACACATGGCACAGAATGGCGAGCGCTAATAATTCCCACGTCCACCCACTTACACTCATTTAATACATGTTATTTGCACACACTGAAGGAGGAAGGTTTTAGTTTCACGCAGCACCTCAACCTTAAAATACCATCTCAACGCCCAGTATGTGTTTGTGCAGGGCTTCAACTTCAAGCGGGACCAGACTTTCAAGTTGACTGACAGAACTGTCAAATGCATCGTTCAGGGCTGTTGACTGATGATTAATATTGTTGAGCACATTGACTTCACTGACGTTTTGACACGTCACACAAGCCACCGAAAAGTATTCATAGATATTTATATTCAGGAATGTTCCTTTATTTGCATGAATCCTGGTTCATTGTGATTACTTTACGACAAATCTGTGATTAATTAAATTCAAATCAAGAAATTGTCCCTCTCTGTTCGATGACTTTGACAGACTTTGAGAGACAATGTCAAAAGCTCTGACTCTCGTCTCTGTCCATCTCCACAGATCACCGCGTTGTCCCTGCCATGCAGGAATTCCACAGGAGTCCGGCGGCAGAGGACAGGAGGCTCAAGAGGGAGAAGAGGTATCTGAAGCTGTCCAAAGGCATGAGTCTGTGCGTGTGTTACGCTGCCAGCATCGGAGGCACGGCCACTCTCACAGGAACCACACCCAACGTCATCCTGGTGGGACAGATGGATGAGTACGGGCCGCACAGAAACACATATTACAATAGTGGAGCGTTTCTCCTCAACAATCGTAACGTGCTGACAATTCCACAGGCTCTTTCCGGAGAACGGTGATATCGTCAACTTTGCTACTTGGTTTGGCTTTGCTTTCCCCAATATGATTCTGATGTTGGTTCTGACTTGGTTTTGGCTGCAGTTTGTATTTTTAGGCTTCAAGTAAGTCCCCTGCCACTGTCATATCAACCATATCACAGTCAGTAGAAAAAAAAAAACCTCTCTCTCAACTTGTTCACCTCATTTATCGCTTTGCTGTCTTTTACCTTCGCCTTCAGCTTAAAAAAATCCTTCGGATGTGGATCGAAGAGTAACAACGACATGGAGGCATACCAGGTAATCAAAGACGAGTACAAAAAGCTGGGGAAGATGAGTTTTGCCGAAGGTTGCGTGCTGGTGAACTTCACGCTGCTGGTTCTTCTGTGGTTTACGAGGGAGCCCGGATTCATGCCTGGATGGGCCACCGTGCTCTTCAACAAAGAAAAGACGTGAGTTTGGCCTCAATAAACCTATTATAGAGCTTACTGGCTAGACCAGGGGTCACCATCGTGACCCCATGATACCTGAGATGGATGTGGGCTATGTTTTGAAAATAAAACTAGTCACGTGGCTGGACGATGGCTATGTTTTGAAAATAAAACTAGTCAACAAGAGGGTCAAAAATTGTACTGTTACTATGCTTTTTGAATCAGTTCCACTTGCAGTGATATTGAAATGGGTGCAATGAAGATGGTAAGAAGAGTGTCTACTGTTGTATGTCCCAGAATTAATTATTATTACATTGTTCGTGAAGTCTGTATCAAACCAGTAGCTCTTGGTATTGCTAAGTGCCCTTGAAGTAGCTCTCAGTTTCAAAAAGGTTGTAGACCCTTGGTCTAAATCAGGGGTCTCCAATAGGTAGATCGCAATCCACTAGTGGGTGGATCACTTCAGTCTATCATTGGAATAATAGTTCCCAAGCCAAAAAGTCAAAAAAGTGTGGGCGGTGAACCACCCCCCCCCCCATTGAACCTATTATACTGATCCACGTTGTTAGGCGTTTCTGTGGTTCTCTTTTATTTAGTTGTGAAACAAATAGTTTAAAACGTTGTCTCTCAACAGGTATGTTAGTGACGGCACGGTGGCCATCTTTATGTCAACACTCTTCTTCTGCATCCCTTCCGTTCTGCCCACATGTGGCAGACGACTATCATATGGTAGGTGTGAACGTGCCAAAATCCTAGAAACATTTACATTGTTGTGTTAAAATAAGAACAAAAGTCTTTCTTATTATTTCTTTTTTCTTTGTCTGAAAGAACTGAAGATACACAAAATACAAAAGGGCGGGTGGGAAGAGCTGGAGGAAACTTCTTTAAATGTTATTATTTAGCCATTTCTGCTACGTTTTTTGGGGTATTAGCATTACAAGCAAATTTCCCGTGCCTTTGCTCTAGGTAGTGCGTTTAGAGTGATTTTTTTTTTCACCACCTGCACATTTTTGTTGCTGACATTGACTTCAAGTATCTTTTAGTGCTCACTCTTTTAAAAAAATCTCTTTGCTAATATATACACTGTATCTCTGAAGATACAACTCACGGGACATGTTAGCCAAATGCCGTAAACACTTTCCATCGCAAGTATTACATTTCAAAGAGCAATAAAGCTCCCGGCATTAAAACCTGTGGAATTGTTTAACATTTTACGAGATCTTTTGTTTGAGGAACACAACATTTGCGATACGAGATAAGATAAGATAAGACTATCAATCGCACACCGGGGAAATTCAGAAAGAAATGCTCTCGGGAGTGAGTCAAAGTGGCAGGTTTTAAGTAAAGTTTGGACACGCAGACAGTTTCATAAGTGTCTCTGCTCCCGTGCCGACTCACTCTGTAACTTTTACTGCCTGTGACAACTCAACCTGCTGACGTAGTGCTTTCTAATAAACAGTATCCAAACTCCTTCCTGTGCTGTAGCCTGATATCCTGAAGGTCAAGCCTGTACAGCAGCACATGCCTCGCTGCTCCTCGGAAAACCCTGAATTTTAGTGGTTATTCTCTTTGTAACCTAAGTTGAGCGAATCCGACTCCTGCGCGGCAGTTACAGGGTTTCTGCTGCTCCATTAGGTGTGACAGCAGTGTGAGTGTTTTGTACACAGAGATGCAATGATTTACTGTAATACCGTGTGTGGTTCAGACTCGGAGGTGCTACGAGATTATAAACGCACAAATCCCGTAGAGTTGGGTTCTGTTTTATTGTGATGTCTTAAAACTTGACTGTCATTCTTATCTTCTCACCTTTAGCCGAAGTCTTACAAAGTTACGACATCTCAGTGGCCAATAAAGTTTGACACTTTACCGAAAGGTTGTATCATCGTTTACGACTTCACTTACCAGAGGTGCTGAGGGTAGAGTTCTGCCCACAAAATTCGGGGCAGCCCTTGGCGTGGTGTTTAAATCAGGCGTGGGCAAACTTTTTAACTCGCTGGCCACGATAGTGACATCGTGGTCGGGTCAGGAGTCCAGAGATGGAGCATTCGTTTGAAATAAGATAAATGACATGTAAAAGTCATGCGTAGAGGCTACAATGCTAAAATGCTTTTAGCCTTCTCTATGCCATCTATTGGGGAAATGCAGGCATTGCAGGGAGAAGGCAGAAGTATAATGCTAATATAAATTAATAACATAATTTGGACAAGTTTTGTGGGCCGGATTAAAAGGCCAAATGGTCCACATCCGGCCCCCGGGCCATAGTTTGCACATTCCTAGATAGCTAGATAGATAGCACTTTATTAACCTGGTTTTTGTTAACTCTTCTTCATTAACCTATTAATGAACCTATTAAATCTTTATTTGTTTGCTCTATCAGATGCTTCCACTAAACCACCTTCACCTCTGCTGACTTGGGAGGTTGTCCATGAAAAGTTCCCCTGGAACATTCTCCTACTTCTGGGTGGAGGTTTTGCGTTGGCCCATGGAAGTGAGGTAATACTTTTTTCTGTTCTTTTTCTTCTTCTTCTTCTTCTTCTTCTTTAATACAAATGTTCATGATCAGATGGGATTGTTCCGAATGTTCCATGTCAAGAGACACAGATAACCCAACAATAACACACAAGACCTTGTCAATAAACATTAGCTAGAATGTAAGCTAATTACCCCACCGCTGTTCCCACGCTATCAGTGGGAAGGGCTAAGCAACACAAAGGTGTTGGCATGTTGTGTTGCACTAAGTGTATATTTTCTAGTTCAGACTCTCTTATTTTTACGATCGCCTAGGACCACATTTTTCCTGTGTAGACAGGTGTAGAAGGTTAAAGCTACACGGTGTGCAGCTTATTTTAATATATTTTAATAAAAAATGTATACTAAACCACTCCTTAGATTGGACGCTAATTTCTTTTTCTTTTGTGATGAAGGTATCTGGACTCTCTGGGTGGATGGGGCAGATGCTAACACCACTGAAAAACATCCCTCCCTTTGCCATCTCCATCGTGCTGTGTCTGCTGGTGGCCATGTTCACGGAATGTTCCAGCAACACTGCCACCACCACACTCTTCCTGCCCATACTTGCCTCCATGGTAAGACCAGATTGCGTCACTAACTCAATCTCGCATTCTCATAAATTGTTTGAAACACAGTATATCAAGGCCACATTAGGTGTGGTGTACCACAGGGTTCAATTGTAGGTATAATTTGGTTCTTTAATGGCAAATCTCATCCCGTCTAATTTAATTGCCACAGTGTCTGGCCTGCTTTCAGTCTAGATCAGTCTTCTGTAGTATGTTATTTAACTAACGATTTTATTTTTTAGGCTGCTGCCATTGAGATCCATCCGCTTTACGTCATGTTCCCCTGCACCATCGCCGCCTCTCTGGCCTTCATGCTGCCCGTGGCCACTCCACCAAACGCCATTGCCTTTTCCTATGGCAACCTGAAAGTTATGGACATGGTAAGACCATGGAAACACACATAAGGCACTATGAGGTGAAGAGTGTATACGCCAACAACTCTGACATGTTATTGTTTCTCGTTGTTGTTTCAGGCCAGGACTGGATTCATCTTGAACTTTGTCGGAGTCTTAACCATCAATCTCGGCATCAACACGTGGGGGGTTGCAATGTTCGACCTGAACAATTTTCCCGCCTGGGCTAACAGTACAAAAAAACCTTGAATGTGAAGTAAATGATGAAAAAAAAGGGGCAAAATGAACAATATCTGCTTAGTCATCAGGGTTCCACCTGGGTCAGCGGATGTCTTCTTCTTTTATATAAAATGCTCAGCTGTATATTCCTGTCAGTGTAGCCTGATGTGCACTCACGGCCTGTCCTTAAAGCCTGATACAGGTTCACTAATGCGGCTTTCTGCCTTAAATTCTTAGCCTCACACTGTGACCCAAAAAACCAGCAGCGAACAATGGAGCAGCTTTATTGGTAATGTTGTGATGATATAAGATTATTGTTGTTATTTTTATGTTGAATCAGTTAACCACACAGATCCTGAAGTTTACCCAAGTTCTTTCAGCCCAAAATATCAATCGACAACTGTAAAGAAAAATTTTAACGATTTAGTTTGATGTGGTGAATTCACTGCATCGGTGATAAAGTGTTACACTAACACGCATGTGATAAAAAAAAAGAGTTTATCTAACATAAATAAAGTTTTTCAAAAGCAAGTAAAATATGTTACTTTTACTTCTATTGTTGCCTAATTTATATTAATTTTAAAAAAATAATTTATCAACTTCACTTGTTGTTGTCTTAAGTGAGTTTTATTGTGAAATCAAAGTGTATTTTCACAAGAACGCTTTGATTTAACAGGGACTATTTTTCCAAGCATGATTGTGGGGTTACTTTATTTAAATATTTGAACATGAATGTTCTTGAAATGATCTAGTTGTGTAAAGGCCTGTTGAAAAAAAAAGCATATTAATCGATTACTGAATCTTGGTTATTATAGAGAGTGGGGAAAAGTAAAAACTGTTATTTGGTAAAACATTATTCAATCAAAAACAAAACAAAAACAAATTAGAGAAACAATTTACTGGGTGTCCATTATTACAGGCAAGACATTTTTCTTGTCAGCTCAAGTCAAGATGGGGAAAAAGAAAAGTAGCAAAAATGTTTTTTATTAATTTTTTAAAATAAATATTTGTCCTTAACAATACCGCACTAAACAGCTGGTACTTGAATGCACCTCGTGTGACAGCCGCAACTTTGGTTATAAAGAAATCATAATCTGTGTACACCTGGCGATTTGTATCTGTTCAAGTTGCACTGCTTCACAAGCTAACGTGTTGCTAGCTGGCGCAAAACCGACAGGAAATAGGCCGAAGGAAGAGACCAAAGGTTTAGTATCAAGTTTAAATATTTATACAATGACAGTGAAATGTGACTAATTTTACAAACAACTGTCATTTTTATTGAATAGTAAATAAAAGTCTGTGGGTTTTGCAAACCGCTCCCAGACCAGAAGCTAATGCTATTTGGAGGGCATTAGCACGGAATGGTTTGGGAACCTTAAAGAGGCAGCACGGAATGGTTTGGGAACCTTAAAGTAGCAGCGTTTTTCATTTTGATTAAATATCCGCAGTGATTTGAAAATTAATTAATGTTGAGGGAATGGTGTATATTCTAATTTAGTAAGTAAATATTAATCTCTGGCAGTTAACCAATATTTAACACTTCTCATTAGCTGTTTTGCGGCTCTGAGCCATGTGAATTGTTGTCGCCATTTGGGAAAATGCATAAAGAAATTGGTTTGATTTGTTTTGATTTATTTATCTCTTAACACATCACTGTTTCCTGTCTTGGTCTTTGAGGTTTTACGATTGTTGACAAAGACAGAAAGACAGCAGCAAATACTGTGGATACAGACTGTCTCACTGTGAGCCAAGGACTGAGACAGTCACTCATAAATCTTCACTCTCACTGCCTCAGGGAAGAATGTTTTCTTTTTCTTTTTTCTTTTTGCAGTGTATACAAAGTATCACTCATAAATCTCACTTTCTCATTACAGAAGAAAATGGGCTCAGATCTCTTCTCTCCTGAACCTTTCTGTGAAAGAAAAGTGTAATGGAAACATTTCCAATGGCCAGATCAACATGGCGACTGACTCACAGGTTTAACAGACACGGCACACAAGACCACAAAACAACTACGTTCTGGTTTCACTTTTCAGCCCGGATTGTGCTCAGGGTTACTCATTCTGAATTATCCCATCATTTGAGATCTGTGTAAAAATAAGGAAATTATGCAACCTGTTCAAAGGGTCACAACAAGACAAAGCTCCTTTGTTCGGGGTTTTTCTCTCAAATCAAAACAAGAGTAACATGGTGTTTTATTACATGGGAGTTAAAGGAAAATTATTAAACAAAATGACTTAAATAAAGTCTTGTGAGAATAGCCGCAGGGCACTGCCTCAGTGTAATCAAATTTCAGAGGCATTCGCAGAGTTACCTTGAACACACACAACAAATTTTTTATTTAAATTAACCTCATATTCAAACCTATAGTAAATTTAGAGTGAAGAATTCACCTTATCATATTTTTCCTGACTGCAGGAGGAGACAGTGGTACCTGAAGAAAAACCAATGTGAAAGATCTGCCAACTGATGACTACTAACTATGTTACTCCCAGTAAATAGATAGATAGATGGATGGATGGATAGATGGATGGACGGATGGATGGATCCATCCTCAACAACCTTATTTTTTCTGTTGAATTGGTTTTGTATTTCAAAGTTGTGATCACCAAAGCATTTTTGTGAAAAAGCGAATGGCAAAATCTGCTTTTTTGTTAATTCTTCAATATGTTGTGAAAAAATATACATGTGGCATCTTGGGGTGAGCGAACATTGACATTATGGGTCTTGGATGTCCAACCGTCCCCAGGTCCGTCAGGACTCTGACAAATGCTTATTAATAGCGACCACTCTGGCTCCATTCTCTTTCTCTGCTGCCCTCAAACCAGGAGGAGGGTCAATAATAACATCTTTAAGCCTGTAAAAAAAAAACAACCAACAACTTGATATTGCAACCTCTCCTCCCTGAGCACTGGAGCAATTATTTCCCAGGAGACAATGGGACTTTCACCTAAGTGCCCCTCTGACATCTCTTCCCGTATTACACCCTCCTGTGGAACTCCTGTCTTTGGCAGAAAGAGCCTTCGGCGCTGGCCTCGCTCTGCCGAGGCCTCGCACTGTAACACAAGAGTTTATTCAATCTGTAATTAATCCTCCGTCTCTCTGTCATTCTGCCTCGCCCTCTCACTGAGGACAGGGTTTGTTCAAGGTATAGCCATGAGCTGAGGCTGCCGAAGTTTTTCTGGTTCATCGGGAGGATAGGATAGGAATCTACCTGTATTGACATACCTCTCAACTCCATCTCCCTCTCACTTTCTCTCTAAATCTCTCTCTCTCTCTCTCTCCTCATACTTTCACTAGTGAACTTCCAGAGGTTTAAAGAGTATAAATCTGATCTTTTCCTCCAGAGAGATATCATCCTAAAGAATCTGAAAACCACGACGGTTCGCGAAACCGGCCGTGACACCAACCCTGGCTCTCCAGCTTCAGGTGGCCTCGCGGTCCCGTTGGCCTTTGTGCGCACGGCGGTTTGGAGGTGTGCAGCTAAGTGGAACAATATCACATTTAAGACATCCTTTCGCCATGGGCGAGCTCAGAAACCAAGGCACGGTGCCCACTCGCTCTGTGCCACCGGCTGTAATCAGAAGTGTATCTTATGTCCCACTCAGACAAGTAACCATTCAGTCAGGCAAAGAAAGAGTGATGGAAGGAGGAAAGGAGCGCTGCCAGCTGCCACTGACTGCACCGGCAGATCTTTTGCAACCTGTAGGAACAGGTTTTTCTTTCTGTATATCTTATTGCTGGGCTAGCCTGGACGAGTGCCATGTACACATGCACACACACACACACTCACACACACTCACATACACCCACACACACAATGAATTAGGATGATATTCTGAGCTGCCAAAATGTGAAACCAGCCCATCAACCCCGTTCAGTACATATTTAGACAGTCAATCTAATCGTTGTTTCTCACTGTGACAGTGAAGGAGTAGTGAGCCGCACACGTCCCCGACTGGAACTGGTGCTGGATGTGCACAGAAGGTCCAGCTCCGGGAAAAGAAAAAAAATCTGACTGTAGCTACGAAACCTGCAGAGTGAGGAGTTCAGGTGAGTCCGCTCAACTCAAAGCTGCTAAAAACACCTGAGTATTTGTTTGATCACATGTTTATATGTCAACACGTAGTACAAATATCCTGCAGTACAGCTGTTGGCAGCGCTGCACCCGTTGACTGCCGGTTAACCTCAGTGAATGTGTGTGGGGCAGCCCGCTCGTGTCGGCGTCTGTGTGTAATCCTGATAATCACGCTTCCAGTGAAAACCTGCACTTGTTCTGGGTCTTTCCTAATCACAGACATGAAAGAAAAGCAGCCTCATTAAAAGCTGTGGTCTGATCCTGAGCTGACAGATGACACTGACTAGATCTGAGCGCTGCCTCACAAGTCAAATAAGTTAACACAGGAGTTAGCTTTAGGAGTAGAGCTTTTTGTTTTGCAGTACTTTTTGAAGTGAAAGCAGGCAGACGTATCGTTGGCTGCTCTCCTGTGACATTTTTTAAATATATTAGGAACTAGCATTGATATCTTAACCTGTTCAACTCTTCTCCTTTACCTAACCCCCCCCCGACCTTCACTGTCAAGAGTTCATAGATTACTAAATTCTTATCTCACTTTACAAACTCTCTCCGTAACCTTTACTCCTCCATTCCTCCAACTGTCCTCTTCACTACGCCACCTCCACGCATACTTGGAATTGGGCTCTTATCCGTATAGCTTCTAACTTCTGGAACTTTCTCACAAACGTCTCAATGAGCCTCACCCTAACCCTCACGTCCAAACGTCTCTTATTAACACACCACATGTCTATATTTTGAAATTTCCTGCGTGCAATATTTAATATAAACTAATCATTCGATCCTAAACGTATAATTACATATAATTGAAATGATCGGCTCCTTGACCACTGGAATGCACATAATTGCTGATAGAACATTACCTTATGTACAAAAAATGTGTCCTGTGCAGGCTTACTCTACCGTCCCTCATTCATTACCACGACCCTTATTTTTGTCCGTACGCCTTTTTCCTCAGTCGTGCTTATATCACCGTGCTGCTCCTTGCCCTCTCAGTAGCCCTGCGACGATAAGTGATGTTTCAATAGATATTGGTTATAGTTCACAGAATCCTGAGATTCCAAACGCGTTATGTAACGCCGCACAACACTAGACGTTCTTCGGTAACCTTAAACGGCGCTGTCCCGTGCCATAGGCTAGGTTGGCAGCTGCTGCAAAGAATCTTATTCAGTGGCTTTGTGTTTGAATCCTCAGTGCTATAGGCTTATACTTCAGACAAGATTGAAGAAGAAACAGAAGAAGAAAAAAACAACAACAAATTGTATATCTTAGGGCTAAATAAACAACGGCCTTTTTTTTTTGCCTTTGTTTATCGGTGTGTAAAGGCATTTGTGATTTTCATTTTTTACCAAACGATCTACTTACAAAGTGTATGTGACAGAAAAGGATACATGATAAAAGCTAGTCTGAAAAATGTCATACCTTTACTATTTATCAGGTTTCATAAGTAGTTCAATAAGGTGATAATCAATGTACGGTGATAAAACTTAACGCTTCCTGTTTAATGTAAACTTTACGGTAATTTCTCCGTACTTAAAGGAATTAAATCTACAAGATTATTTTTGAGGCTTTTCCACAAACCACATTAAGAACACAAGTCGAACAAGTGAAACAAAATGTGACATAACACTGTTGTGATAACATTACAGTGAACAGAGTGTTCATTCAGAACTGATTAAAACTAATGGAAAAAAGTCGTCAGAAACGCTGCCAAGAGGCCTATGGCAGTGATAAAGAAACAGCCGGAATGTCTGGCAACTAAATACAGTTGGTTTTAACGGTTTAAACTTCATCTATAATGGTGTTTTGGTGGAAAATAGAAAAAAAAACCCATGAAATTTCAAGTCTTAAGGTGAAGTAGTTATTCAGTGAATACAATTTTACCAGGCTTGTTCAGATACCACATCCAGTACATGCTGATGTGGAGTACTTAGGTTTCAATAGATATGCAATGAATTGAAGGCAGTGTTACATACTGTAGGTGGCACCGTTCTGTGGGTAATAGATTGACATGCAGTGTGTAGGTGTGAGCTCAACCCAAACCACAGTGAGGACACCAAGCAGAAAAAAGTTTAGAGTCCGTTTTATTTTCTACTTACTTCCAGAAGAGTATTTTAATACAAAGTACGTCTTCAAGTTGTCGCTGACTTCACGTTAGAAAATATCAATAATACTAGGTATAAATAAATACATTTATATAATATTTAAATCAAAATATGTCTTTGTTCACAGTGAAGACTGTCAGCTGAACAGAAAGTGAGCAGAGCTTTTACACCAATGTTGCATTTTAGTTAAAAACACAGTTTGTGTCACTTCAACTGCGTAGCACTTTTTACATGTTTCAATAAACATAAAAACACACGATGTCATTGACAAAGGTCCCGACAAAAAAACCCAGCTTTGTGAGGTGTAATCACCTCATCTCTCCACTGTGGCGCTAGACTGAGAAGAGACATTAGTGTTATTCAGCGCCGACATTGGTACTTGTATAAAGTACCCACGAGGCCAAGGAGGCACTGAACTACAGTAGGGAAACACATTTTTGTGATTTTTTTAGTTAGTACAGCGGGGCTTCGAGATACAAGCTCCCCAAAATACGAGTTTTCCAAGTTACGAGTAAGCAACTTTTGGTAAGATTTTTCTCAAGATATGAGGAAACATCGAGTTACGAGTGCTCAACCGAGCTCCATTTTTCCTGTTGAGCTCAATGTCCCTCTCTATTTTGTTTGTTTATATCTATGTTTTTTAAAATATCTATGTTTTTAAAAAACAAACCTACTTTATCCAGTTGCTTTCCGTGTCTATCTCTTTGGATAAAATGACCTAGATGACTGAAAATCTACACAGACATCTATGATTTTGATGTTTAAATTTGGGGGAATTTTAATTTAAATAATTCATAGTATATTTCTGGGGGGCTGGTTTTTAATTATCTTTAATGACGAAAATGCAATCAAGATACGAGTCGATCAACATGCAAGTGCTGTTGTGGAACGGATTAAGCTCGTATCTGGAAGCCCCACTGTATTGGGACTGGACATTTTCATTCATGACTATCCTATGTTTTACCTTCTTAGTTAATACTACCACAGCAGGACTACCTGTACCTCAGTTGTGTCTTCTAGTAAAAAAAAAAAACATACTTGCGTGCTTGGAGAAAAGCTTGCATTAACAGTTTCCACTTTTGCTCCTGTGAGTGCCTGCTGTCAGGATGTCATGTTACGCAGATGAGAGCGTTTGTTGCCAGAGTGTTGAAAGGCACTCTCTCGACTTTCACCTGGCCACTTAAACCTTCTTTGATCTTCTATCTCTTTCTCTCTCTCTATCTCACCCCCACCGAGCTTCTCCTGCCTCAGCATTATCAGGCTCTCAGTGACCCAGCGAAGGCCACAGTTGGTTGGCAGTTGTAATGAGCGTGCTTGATGTCAGGGCTGAGGTTACCTTCACTGGAACCTGCGCCACGTGTCTTCTCTCACCTCCGCTGGGATCAGATAACGCTTCCTAACCTTTCTGCCTCTTGATATACCTGCACCAGTGACCGTGTACTGCCTATGTCAAGGCTTGGAGTCGCCTCTGTAAATTAATTCCTGTTCCCGTGCTTGGATTCACACTGTCAGAGGTGAAGACGGAGAAGTTCGGAGTCAGACTCCAGATATTATCTCAATGGATTCTGTTGCTTCCTGTTCTGGTGGAACGGCCTCATTTATCACAACAAAAAAGAAGAACAAGCTGCTGTTGGACAATTTTCTTCTCCTATCTGAGTCAGGCTGAGCTGAACAGAATCTGCATTAGTTATCAGTTTTATCAGGTGACATAGTTGTTATGGATTCCCCAATCCTGGTTAGTTGGATCCGATTGCTGGACACAATTTTGAATCCCGCTCCTGCGACAAGCAACATAGACAGGTTCTAGGTAACCGATAGAGTACGACACTCTGGCGCTGATCCTCCGGCAGGACGGGCCTTAAATGCTCCCTCCGCCCTGATTGGAAGTGCCGGCATGAGCGTGCCTTCACCACCGAGGCAAATCACCAACTGCTGTGAACAGTGGGCATACGCCCACACCAGGAAGCCAACCATCACAGTAGTACTTTAATTAAATGGATTGGCATGGATGTCTGTCTAAAAATAATTACAATTACAAATATTATATGATTATATTTTAATGACAAGAACAATAAAATAATAAAATAATAATAATAATTATTATGATTATTGTTGTTATTATTATTTTTAAAAAAACATTCCAGTCAAAATGTAAAAAATTAAAAAAGTATAAATACCAGTATTTTACCAGCACCTCATGACAACTTTTTTAGTCATTAAAAAATTGACCTTTTTTCTGTAAAATATTCTGTAGCACGTCACTCCTGATATCTGAAGAAGTTCCTGAAAAACACCATACCATTCCAAGTAAACCAAGCAAAAAAATGACAAATTGAAAATTTTTTTTCTCACAAAGACTGCTTTTTCTTTTCATCCAATCACAGGAGCCCATCCCGTCGAAGAATGTCAGACTCGTCTTTATGCAGCTCCTCGCACACATGTACCCTTCAGGCCAACCTCAGCACCTGTGAGCCCTGTGGGCCCTCCTTCCAGCAGATGGCAGAATCACCGGTATTTCAGCTGCCTCAGGCGTTTTCTGTGATTTTAACTCTCTTAAAAACACACGTGTGCAAACTGTGCCTAAGACTGTCATTCACAGACTATAGGTTAAAACATGGATTTGATGAAATGATTATTGTACCTAGATGTCCTTAGACTCCTGTAGTCACGTCTGTCTCCTTCTCTAAGCAGGACACCTTCAGTCCAAGGGCCGCAGCTTTGAACAGGAGAGCGAGCTCCTCTGAGACGATCAATCCAGGGTCAGGTTCAGCACCTGGTCGAGGCCTGGTCGACCCAGATTGTTTCACCCCTTACCGCCGACAGTTCAGAGATGGAGCTGAATGTTGTCTTCAACAGTGCCCTCCTTCCTTCGGCTCTCTACAGGACGCGTACAGTCCAGATGCTAGTTCACTGAGGTGCAGCAGTGACGCTCCGCCGCCAACATCAACCATCTGCTGGGACCAGTACACCGGCAGCGTTCAGGTTTAGTAGTTGAATTGAAACATTAGCCTGTGCCCATGTCTGACTGCGTCCTTATTGAGTCTCTTCCTGACCTGCAGAGTTCATGCCTAGAAACACCAACCGTGGCTGTGGAGCCAAACAGCTTCCTGTCTCAGAGTTACCCATCATACAACTCTCCAAGCTCTCTGCAACAGGTGAGTTAATATATATATATATATTTATATGTTAATAATAATACGTGATCATTAATAATATGATCATTAATGAAATGAATGAAATAGTAATAATAGCAGTGGTAGTACAAATAAAACATTTTTGATATTGCTATAACAATAATACAGTATTTGCATATCAACAGTGCTTTATATACTACTACTACCACTACTACCACTACTACTACTACTACTGCTACTACTACTACTAATAATAATAATAGTGATGATGATGATGATGATAATGATGATTGATATTACTATTATTTATTGTAACCAATGACAAATGCAATTGTAATTATAATAAAACATTTGTCTTGTCATGGTTTTATAATAATACCACATTTATAAAAACAAAAATGTTTCATTCCAGTTTTCTCGCGAGAAATATTTCTTTTTTAAACTCCAGCTCTGTCACCACCTCAGCTTTCTCTGGGAGAAGTCAAAACTGAAACTTGTCTCTCTCTAAAGCTTTATGATGCAATACCAAAGCCAGCTGTGGTTTTATAAAGCTGGCTAACTTCAGTCTTTATCTGCATTATAACTAACCCTAACATAGACTTTGACACAGAACAAGTCGATAAATAACGTGATCAGAGATAACGAGTGGTGTGAAGAACGTAACTGTGTTTGATTAGCTCTCAGGTTTATCTGTGTTTGGGTTTTTCTCTTCAGGTCTCTTCCAGGCCGTACTCTAATAACGACCAGGCCAGAAGTACAAAGTACTCTCTGCAGACCATCTCCACGCAGTCACATCCAGAGACCAACACTGAGCGCTCTCTACAGGACGCGTACAGTCCAGATGCTAGTTCACTGAGGTGCAGCAGTGACGCTCCGCCGCCAACATCAACCATCTGCTGGGACCAGTACACCGGCAGCGTTCAGGTTTAGTAGTTGAATTGAAACATTAGCCTGTGCCCATGTCTGACTGCGTCCTTATTGAGTCTCTTCCTGACCTGCAGAGTTCATGCCTAGAAACACCAACCGTGGCTGTGGAGCCAAACAGCTTCCTGTCTCAGAGTTACCCATCATACAACTCTCCAAGCTCTCTGCAACAGGTGAGTTAATATATATATATATATTTATATGTTAATAATAATACGTGATCATTAATAATATGATCATTAATGAAATGAATGAAATAGTAATAATAGCAGTGGTAGTACAAATAAAACATTTTTGATATTGCTATAACAATAATACAGTATTTGCATATCAACAGTGCTTTATATACTACTACTCCTACCACTACTACCACTACTACTACTACTACTGCTACTACTCATACTACTACTACTACTACTACTACTACTACTACTACTGCTACTACTACTACTAATAATAATAATAGTGATGATGATGATGATGATAATGATGATTGATATTACTATTATTTATTGTAACCAATGACAAATGCAATTGTAATTATAATAAAACATTTGTCTTGTCATGGTTTTATAATAATACCACATTTATAAAAACAAAAATGTTTCATTCCAGTTTTCTCGCGAGAAATATTTCTTTTTTAAACTCCAGCTCTGTCACCACCTCAGCTTTCTCTGGGAGAAGTCAAAACTGAAACTTGTCTCTCTCTAAAGCTTTATGATGCAATACCAAAGCCAGCTGTGGTTTTATAAAGCTGGCTAACTTCAGTCTTTATCTGCATTATAACTAACCCTAACATAGACTTTGACACAGAACAAGTCGATAAATAACGTGATCAGAGATAACGAGTGGTGTGAAGAACGTAACTGTGTTTGATTAGCTCTCAGGTTTATCTGTGTTTGGGTTTTTCTCTTCAGGTCTCTTCCAGGCCGTACTCTAATAACGACCAGGCCAGAAGTACAAAGTACTCTCTGCAGACCATCTCCACGCAGTCACATCCAGAGACCAACACTGAGCCCAGCTTTCCTAAACCCATTTACTCCTACAGGTGAACACCAGTCTCTGTCTAAAATCTCCCTCTGTCTATATATATATATATATTAGAGCTTCAGATGTTCCAGTTGTTTATAAATCCAGTTCTATAAACTGACCACCTTGTGTAACCACTTGTGTGTCTTTGCCGCAGTATCTTGATCTTCATGGCTTTGCAAAGCAGCAAAACTGGAAGTTTGCCTGTGAGTGAGATCTACAGCTTCATGACTGAACACTTCCCTTACTTCAAGGTACCACAATATAAACCCAATCATTTAACCCCTTGAATCAAGTTAAATTGAACCGTTAGTGTTTAAAAAGGTATACATACCTAATCGGTTACCAAAGTAGGGGGCGCTTCCCTCAGTGGTGGGCACAGAATACAAAAATGAAGCGTGAAAGTCTCACAGTTGCAGCTAATGAAGAAATTCAAATTCAAAATGGTATTGATTTATTTAATTTATAAGAATTTGAAATCATAGAAAGATTCGATTAGACGGACATAACCGAATCGACGGAGATCTTAGAAATGGATATTTCAAACCAAAGATCATTTGAAAAGCTGGAGATGTTATCATTTTACCTTCTTAAGAGGAGGGAGTGAAATGTGTCAGGACTTTGATTAAATATTGATAAGACGTTCACACAGCTGCAGGGTCAGTCCTGGGTTTGAACCCTGGGTTGTCACAAAAGTTGTAGACGTTGCGTAGAATTAATCATAACTACAAATCAAATGGGTTCAGACTCACTTCTGGAAGGAGCTCAAAGACTTAGCCACCATTTATATTCAAGCAGGCACAATATAGATGGCTGCACTCCAAACAGCTGCCTATAAGACTGAACAGGCTGCAGGGCCATAAAAATATATGAAACATGATGAAGTGATATTTGCAGGAAAGTCGGTTTATTTTGCAAATACATTAAAAGAACCGAACATTGTCAAGTGTTTTTTTTTTAGTTCAGTTCAGTTCAGCTGACGCTTGCTATGGCACGCAAATGTAAATAGTTTGAGATTGTGAAAAAGTTTTAACACATTTTACCATGGCCTGCAGGAGGGGATTGGTGTCCTGGAATCTTTGGGGCAGAATTAGCTGAGCTGACTTTCACCTGAGCTTTACACTTCAAACTTTACACACACAGTTAGAGCTGCAGTCAGATTTTCAACGTATGAGAGTATTCTTTGAATTTTTCTTGGTAAACATAGAGGACTTAGCTGTAGAGGGAGCTAAAAACACAGATTTGATGCCCTGGTTATCAAACTATTTATAGTTTGTACTGCAACTAATTGATTTGTTTTTGCAGGTTGCACCAATAAAATATTCAAATACAGG